AATTTTTCTATTTAAATTAAATTTTTTCATTTTATACGGTTAATTCTTTAATTTTTTATGGTAACACTTAAATTGAGCAAGGTAACGCAATTTTGTGATAATGTTTTTTATAACGTTTTGAGGGAAATATAAATAAACACTACTTTAGTTGGAAGTTTTCAATTACATTAACAGAAGTACACAAATAAATATATTATAAATATATTTATTGAATGATTTTGCAATATTTGTACTTCTATTAATGTGATTTATAATTGTAATTATTGAAAAGTATAACTCTAATAGACATTTTTACTTAACTTAATTTTAGATTGCACCGCGCAACATTCGAATTCATTTTAGATATAACAAGTAATTATCTTATTCGAGAAATAAAAGGTTGTCCAACAATTCCACCTCGTCAACAATTTTTAATTGCCTTGTGGAAAATGGCTACAATGGATTCCTATAGGTATGATGGATTGCATGCAGCTTTTCGAACACTTAATGTACAATTAAACTTATTATCTATAATTATTTGCAGATCCATTTGTGATCGATTTAACGTTGGTAGAGCATTGAGAGCTGTGAGAAGAGTTATACGAGCTCTATTTACAATAGCTCCTCAATTTATATCTTGGCCTTCAAATGAAGATGCACAAATTATAATGCACAAATTTGAAGAAGCCAGTGGATTTCCAAATACAATTGGTGCCATAGACGGCATTCACATTAGAATCGAAGCACCCAAAGAAAACGCAGTAGACTACATACACCGGAAAGGATATCATTCCATCCAGTTGCAAGTAAATTATTAGTAAAGTATTTGTAACAATCATTTTGGCCTATATATTAACTTTATATATGTGACTATATCTTTAATTTTTTTTAATTATAGGCGGTGTGCGATCACAGGGCTTTAATCACTCATTGTTATGTTGGCCATCCAGGATCTGTTCATGATCAAAGAATCTTCAGGCAGTCAGAAGTAGCCACATTCTTAAATATTGAAGAAAAATTTCCCAATAACAGTCATTTGATAGGAGATGCTGCTTATGAATTACACGAACATCTCTTAGTACCATTTAAAGATAATGGACATTTAAGTGATGTGCAGAAACATTACAATTTCCGACATTCCTCTGCAAGGACAAAGATCGAACAATGTTTTGCGTTGTTAAAAAGAAGATTGAGGAGTTTGATGCATTGTTTGCCCATGGTTAGAGTGGACCTAATGCCTGAATATATAGTAGCATGTTGTGTTATCCACAATATTTGCATACTACGTCGAGATGAACTTATAGTAATACCACTGATAGCACCTGAAGAAGTTACAGGGCAAGATTATGATATTAACCAAAGACAAGATGCAATTGGTATATGTAAAAGGAATATGATAATGCATACCTTGCAAAGACAATTTAACGTGTAAAGCAGGTAACTATATATTTAATTTTTGTATGTTGTTCAAAGAGAGAATGTAATATAAATACATATATATTAATATATACACAAAACATGTATATGTATATATATATATATATGGGGCATTCTTTCTCAACCGGACACCCCCCTCTGCCCAGAATTCATATGAACCAAAAAAATTTTTTCATGGCTGAAAATTTAGCTAAACATGTCTACTTTTATTTGCCGTGTGGCCCCTTTCAAAATTCAAAATGGCGGCGCG